CTCCAACGGCCAAAGCTGATTGACCAAACAACAGGCCCTCCATGCTGTCCAACCGAAGACCTCTGGTGAAAAAGCAAACCATAGGAACTATAGAATGCAGTCTGGACATGTCTGGATTTTGCCTGTCTCATTATTGATATATATATATATATATCAATCTCAGCCAAATGCTGCAGGAACCAAAATAACATTTCAACACTGGGAGAATCCTTTGGGGGCCCCGGACATTTCCGGAAAAGTACAAGCTCACCAGCGGTTTCCGACCCCAGAAATGACAAATGCTGGTAGGTTTATTTACAGATTCGGAGGTATTGCTGCATTCAGCTCTCTTGCACGTATCCTGGGATCATTTGCGCAGTACAATACAAGTTCTTGCTTGCCTCGGCCTGAGTCGTTTTTGTGGACAGCTCATTGTCAAGGCACTCCCCACCGCCGTGATGGCCGCGGGAAGCATTTAAATCAGCAACCGCTTGGTCCAGCCAAACTGTGGCTTGCCAGCTCTCATGGAACTCTCACCCGTCAAGTGTCGTTCAACTCAAGAGTCGGTACATCTCTGATCTCCAGCGCCGGGTCTTCCGGCGACCTTTGGTGAAACGATGTGAAAAGAGTTTGGGCAAATGTCTGAAGAGCCTCTGAACAACCAGCTGGGAATGTTGCATCCAGCAAAAAAATGGTGCTCCGGCATCCGGCTATGTACAAGTTCCAGTGCTTCTTCATCCTGTGACAACTTTGACCATGCTTCGTCATGTCTCCTTCAGCTCCGCAATCTTCTTCGTGCTCTCTTGGCCACTTGTGCTCCTTTGAGTCCTTTGAGCATCCTCACCCCCCCTACTTTCTGCCATGCCAGCGCGGTTTGTTGAAAACCTGACGCCGTCCAGCAGCTACTTCCCCTGCTATCGTGTTCAAGTCCTCTCCAGTGTCTTCCAGTGCGAATCCCTCTCCATGTCTCTCCATTGAAAACCCGTGGCGTTCAGCTTGCACTTCCCTGTTCTCTCCTTCTCTCGTGTGGCCAGGCCGGCCAAACCTCTTGACCATGTCATCCGAATGAGGTTCGTTTCGCACCATGGACATTGTCAAAAGAAGGAGAAACAAGAAACAACAAGGAACAAAGGGCATCGCTACTGGTATGGCATCGCAGCGGTGGTCGCCTAGCTGATTCCATCGGCCCAGCGGTGGTCGCGTGGCACCTGACATTGGCCTTCGCCATCTGCGCCGAAGGCCAGGACCCGTCCGTCGCTCCTCTCGGTCCCAAGCAGCGAAAAGGAGGTCCACAATGTGGAGAACCGCACCGCGATGTGGGTTAACAAGGAGTGGCTTTCAGCAAACTTGGAGTTCCCATGTTACTTTTTGCCCAAGGAGTTGTTTGGGTAGCTTATGGTAGCTTGGGTGTTGCTGATACTGAAACAAGGTGTGAACTATGGGAACTCGCTGTGTGGTTCTCCATAAGCCTCAGCGTTGTATCTGCTGCAGCTTGACTTCAAAGCCTGAACTCTGGAATATCACGAGAAATAGACCATACTATACATATTTATACAATTTGGGATGTGGAAATGCCAATCTTGTTTTGAACAGCGAAGCTTCTTCCTTTGGAACCGTCGAAATCGTTCACCTTGGCACCTGGGGGAAAATTTGCTGCGAGCTTCTTGCTATCAAAAGATCTCACCACCTCGAGAACTCATCTCTCTTGGAGGCTAAATCAATCTAAATCATTCTTTTGATAGGAGAAGGCGCACAAGTCAATTGGCCAGTGCAAGAAACCTCTGGCACGCCCAGCCAACATCTCATATTGCTCCCATTCCCACCAGTCAAATCAGCTAGCCACTGCAGCACTACACTACCTCAGCCACCCATCCGTGATAATGCAAACCCCCAAAGAAAGACTAACCATGGGAAACTGGGAAACCTGTAGCCTACAAAGAAGGCCTCCCTCACCTGCCCCACCCAACTCCTTAAGAGCAAAGTATGTGAGCCACCCGCAGCAACTGCTTCGTATTTCAGACCAGGTGGTAGCGGTGGAACCTCCACGACTAATCGGACGCGCTTTCGAACCACGTGATCCAACTGGGTGGCATGAGCCAAGGCGTTCTGAAGCAGAACATCTCCCCAAATGACCTCTCTTAGACATTGAGCGGCTGCGTGTAGGTTCAGGTGTGTAGCTGGTTCAAGTAGTTGTCCTCGTCAAAACTCTGATGCACAGCTTGCCTGAATGAGTGTTTGCCACAGCTCAAACTCATCCGTGCTTGCTCTCCTTCCTCCCCCCAAGACAAACAAACAAACACACATACACACAATTGGTGGTCATCTCCTTTGCTCCAGCATTTGGTCTTTTTAGACGCGTATTGCATTGACATTGGGTTCCCCCATTCTGCCCGCAACGAGAAATAGTTGCCATGATATTGTCATTTCTGTCAGTTGAACCACCTTCTTGGAGCCAAATTCAGCCAACATATGTTTGGAATTGTCTAGGAGGGTTTCCCTCTTCTATATTTTTATGGGTTCGCCCAACGGCCCAACCCTCCATCTCTCACGCCTGGCACTGTCCATGCTGATCTTCGCCAGCCGCCCAAACCAAACCATTCTCGGCCAGCAGCACGGTGTGGTTCTCGCCGCAAGCAACCGCTCTGTAGCGGCCGTCGCTGGGCAAATCACATTGACCATGGAAGTTCCAGCCGAAGGCAACGGCCTGTGGCAGGGATCAATGTTCACATATTCATACAAAGCCATGCATTCCCTTAAATAAGCAGTTGCCCCTTGTAGGAACACACACATGCACATGCACACATTTAGCTTCCACTCATTGGAAGTGATATATTTGGACTTCACCCTACGAATCGAAGACCTGTCTGATTTCGCTGATCTGACCATCGCTACGGGTCCCACCTTCCCATCATTGCGCAAAAGCACCGAATGTCGACCGCCAGCGGCGCAGGCCACGTACTTCAGTGGCAAGGAAGTCGCACTGGTCACAACGAGAGCCAGGTCCTCAGCCCCAAGGTCGGTAGTTCCCCGTGCAGGATTCAATGACATCTAGTAGCATTCTTGCTCCTGGTAGTATTGCCAGGAGCCCCTAGCAACGTCCTTGCTCCTAGTGGCGATGCCAGGAGCCCCTAGTAGCATTCTTGCTCCTAGTCCATTCATGTCATGCAAACATTGCCAAAGCCTTGTAGCCAAAGTTATGGAGCAAAGTATGATGCTTAACTTGATCTTTGGACCTTGGGACGAAAGCTTTCATCTGTAAGAATCAGTAAACATCACAAGTCACTACAACAGAGTCAGCTTCGTCATTCCCCCCAAGAAGTTCCAGGCATGACGTCATGAGGGCTGGGCTGATCAAAAGGCCACATCGCACTTACTTGCTCCTGCCCAGCCTGGAAAGCGGTTTCCACCCACAACCCATCACCAACCCACGCTCACCAAACCAGCATCTAAGGCCACGTCCTCCCCCAGCCCTTCCCAAGCTCCACGCGTCTGGCGCTGCCGTTTGGCCATCCTCGTGGGCACCACACGCGTCCACATGGCGGCCGCCTTGGCGCAGCGCCAAGGTGTGCGATCGGCCCGCAGCGATGGCCATGTAGGGTCCCTGTGGAAAAGGGAGGTCGCACTGGCCTCGGTGCCCAAGGTCATGTGAGAAAGACTTGGAACCAAAGCTTCACTTGGAACCAAGGAATGTGTCTGACAAATCAAATCCATCTCAATCCGCTGGTATAACAAAAGGTGAAACGTCTCCTTTTGTGGCACGGACTGAAAAAGGAACACCCTTGGAAAGTTCTGCAGGCGTGGACAACGAGATGTTTGGGGACCGCCCTCAGGCAAGGCCCTCGACTGCAAAATGGCCAACACCAAATGGGTTGGCATGTGCCCGCAAAGAACTGATCGACGCGGATTGCAGAAACAAGATGAAACAAGTGCCGGAAAAAGAAGTGACTTGATGCACGAAAGGGAGGTGATATCCTGTCCATTCAGTGAGTAACGCAGGTCACATCCTATTCCAGCAGCTTGTGCAAACCATTGCATGCCCATGCATATATCATCACATCTTAATGTGATAGCTACCCCGCAGTCAAAGGACCCAAACATGCAATGATCCTTATGATTAAAGCGTCGAGTAAGGCTGCAGCACTGAGGAGGGCACCCTTTTTGGGGCGGTCGGGGGCGCCAATCACTGAACAAATGATGATTAGCATGCAACATCTACTCCTTTGATGACATGAGCCAGCCTACGAGAGTGTCTCTCCTGAACATGGCGGAGCGCAAAACAGTTTTAAGCAAGTCTCCCTGCCAAAGCCAGCTGCATGGAAAGCTTAAGCACCAATGGGCCAATGGGTGAGAAACACATTTTATAACAGTTTGTGCAACACTACGTCCGATCAATTGTAAATCAAGCTGCCCTTGTCAATCACTGTTCGACTATGTTCAATGCCGCAACAACGGCATCTTTTAGGGCCCAAGCCATGAGCATTGCACCCGAAGGCTAGGCATTGCCCGGAATCCTCGAGCAACACCGAGTGGAAGCCGCCAGCGGCCACTGCCACAATGGGCCTCAAGGCATGGGACGGTGATCCATCGCCTGTGCATCTTTTCATCTGCATCTTTCATCTTTCTCAAGTCTGGGCTTGTACCCCACAATCGAGTACCTGGAACTTTTTCGATAGGATCTGCAGGTTGCTCTAACCGAGCGGCAGCTCACAAGCCGGAATGGCTGTCTGGCCATCCAAATTGAGTCCACAAGCTGCCACTCTGCCATCACTGCGCAGCAGGAGGGTGTGTTGCACCCCGCAAGCACTTGCAACATACCTTGGTCCAAAGGTTTAACAAGAGATATGACGTGCCTCCGAAAGAAGATTGCAGGACTGACCTCATCATGCCCTCTCAAGTCAGGATGTGCCAGCCGCGGTGTGTAACAGTTATATACGGTAAAACAGTTAGGCGGACTCGCCCTGGACTCAATCCTATTCATTCGGGTTTGGGAAACAGTTAGCTACGAACCCTTTGCGTGGAGGAAATCATCTCAGCCTCCAACTCATGTGGATCAGTGGATCAAGATTTTTGGGTCCTTAAAGGAAGTGTGAGAAACACTTTCTTATGCATATTGCTGTAGCAGTGATGGAGGGGAGGGCGGTGCCACGAAGTAAAGAAGTTGCTGGCTCCTTGAGGTTTCGCATATATAGGGCACCTAGGAACAAGTGCCACGCTAGTAGTAACAGGTGCCTTACTAGTAGTAACAAGAAGCTACTAGGAACAAGTGCATCGCTACTAGTAACAAGAATCGCATAGTGTGACCGCCCGTGGGGGGTCGGACCCGCCGAGCCACCGGACACCTTCCGGCAGCGGAGGAAGCGTGGATTCGCCCGCGCCGTTCAGGCCCACCGCCACGGCGCCAGTTCGGTGCAAGAGCACGGAATGGTAACGCCCTGCGATGGGGTACTAAGCAAATTCAACATGGCTTCAGGTCTGGAAACTGGGAGAAGCAAAGTATAAATATTATGACATATGTGTTTTTGACATTAAACCGTATTAAACCTACTAGCGATGGCCTCCAACCTAAGAACAATGAGATTCAAGGTGGCTTCAGGTCCGGAAGCTGGGAGATGAAGATCCCAGCTTCTTGCTGTATACCTAAATGAAAGTCATATTATGCAAAAACACCGCAAGGTGAATGCGGATGCTTATTGAGATTGCAAGGGAAGGTTCTGCAATGCCAAAAAGGTTCCCATAGGAAAAACAGTGAACACAGCAGCATTTAAAAAAAAACAAACAATCAATCTGCATTTATTTGGACTATCTGGCGTGGTCTCTCCCTTAGCAGCTCGATGTTCAATTGAAGAAGGGCTTGATCCTCACCCTCATGCCTCACTCTCTGCAAGCATCTTTCTTTGCTACGACAAAAGTGCCCCATCATTCACACATCACCTCGTTCCAAACGATCCCTGGAAATTCCACTCTCTCTGCAACGAAAAATGCAGTTTCACTCTGCATCACTTCGTCATTGACCGATTCAAGGATTAAATTGAACAAACCCGAACCCGAACTGCCAAACTGCCTTTCGACCAATCTCCAGCCGCCTGCCTGCGCTGAGGCTTCCTTCCAGCCACCCCTGGTGCCAGCGCTGCAACCACCTTCCGCAGGCCGCACCCAGCGCGGCGCCGTGCCGCGACCGACGACCCCGCAGCAGCTGGGCGCAGCTGCGGAGTTCGGCGGGGCGGGAGGTCTGGAGGAAGTCCTGAGGCCCAAATGCCAGTTTCCCCCTCGGGTTTTTAGTTTCTCTTCGTTTGGAACATCAAACGGGAGATGAAAGGACGCGAGAAGTGTGGGAAACACCGCCAGCTTTTATCGGTCCAACTTCTTTGCCATGTGCCTGAAGAAGCCTCTCCAGCATGGCCATGGGTACATCAGCAAGCTCTGCCACCTTCACCACTTGGGTCCATTCCTCCAATCCAGCAACACGTCCTGCAATGAAGGGGCTAACTCTCAGAAGCTCTGGATTCACTACCAGGCAGGAGAAGCTCTTGTAACATCTTGTACCAAATGCGGGCGAAATCGCACGAAGGTATTGGACCGCCATGAGTTATGAAGAATTGATACTTGCCGTTTTTGAACGGCGCCCTTGCTTTTGTTGGCGAAGGCACATCCAAAGACCACGCAAACTCAAACACCACGTCAGTCCTTCCATCTTCTCAAAGAAGCCTCGCACCAGCGCAAAAAAATAGTATTTTGGGCAAACCTTGTCAATTGAGAATCTCGAAGTTGGGTTCTCTCCAAAGGAAGATCACGTCAACAAAGAAGCCACATGGTGGATCGGTGGACCACACCCCTACTGATGAAAGGTTTGGCACTTTGTCTTGTGCAAGTCTCAGTATCATGAGAAGCGGGCACACAACAAACCCAGTACTTATATACCATTTTGATTACACCTGTGTCATGTAAGCGGTATTCGAACACCTCAGCATATCAAACCGGAAGCCTGGCCTGTAAGCACTTATGGGATCTTGACCCATGTCATGCTCCTCGCCCAAGGAAATGAGGTGCATCGAACCCCAAAAAAGCTTCAACAAGTTGGTTATAATTATTGCCACTGATAGGGTAACATGAGGCTGTGGTGTCATCTATCCATGTCTCACATGTTGTCGATCTCTCTGCCGTATCCACTTCAGGATCTTTGCACGGCGAAATTGCTAAGAGATTTGAAGGATAGGCCTTTCGAAACCGTGATGAAGGCAAGAAGCGCTGAGCCATGGGCCACTTGATCTCTGGCTCCAAAGCAGCAGCACAGTGCAGGGTGAGCAGAAGCTCAGGGTAGCTGAAGTCTTTGATTTTCAGCTCCTTCGGGAGTGGCTCATGGACGACTTTGATCTCTTTCTGAACCCCTTGCCTTCACTGACTGGCATACCCCAGCATCTAGCAAACAGGTTCCAAGGTCCTTCGAACCCCTTCCAAGATCTTCCAATGTCAAGCTGCACTCAAGATCCAACTAAGGACCGGGTTCTTCAACCACTACTCTCACTGGCAGGTTGGAGGCCATCGCTAGTAGGTTCTTCCTACTCCAGGCTTCGCAGGAACTCCTCCAGCCGCACCAGCGCCTGAGCCGTGGTCACCAGCGCCGTGTCCAGTGGCTGGTGTTCGGCGGGGCCCAACGAGGTGCACAGCGAGACCAAACGAGGCAACTGCGCGCTGGGCTTGCTGGGCGGCTGATGCTCCTCCAAGCGAATGGTGTGGACAAGCGGCTGATGTGTTGGAATCGGGTGGGCCCCATCTGTTCTGAACCTCTAAACCTAGTCTACCGACTCCCTGCTGAAACAAACAAAGCCGGATGGAACCAACAATCAGATGTGGCCTGGGACGGGGGTTGAAATCGTATGGTGACATGGTTGCAAAAGGCTTCAAGGCTTCAAGTTACAATCGTGAGCTGGAATACTACAGTAATTCTCGTGGACTTAGTGTCTTGAGTGAATTCGTTGAGAATGCTGTCTGGAGCAAAGCTTGCCTTGATTGAGGCATGTGAGCTGCCATAATGAATGGGCATAATCTTGGGTACACGAAGGGGCTAAGAACACGGTGAGACAAACAAATGAAGCTATACTTATTCACTCCCTCTCTCGCTCGCTGACTGGCTGACTGGCTGACTGGCTGACTGGCTGATTGGCTGATTGGCTGATTGGCTGATTGGCTGACTGACTGACTGACTGACTGACTGACTGACTGACTGACTGACTG